ATTGCGAGCATATGGAACAGGGAGCAGCAAGAGTCCATGATGCAGGGATGTCCAAGTGAGCAGAACCTAATTTCCAAGTTCAAGACTTCCATCAGGTCACTTTTGGGGGGGGGGACACCTCCTAACATAGCTAGTTCCTGGAATGTCTTCTGTTTTGATACCCATCTTCCAGACTTTTGCCAATTCTAAATTTAGTTCCCAGTGTTAATGAATACCCAAAATCTGTGTGGTTATGAAACAGGTGATATTCTGAACGTTCTTACATAATTTGCTCTCTCACCTATTTGGACAATCGTTAGTTACATAATGATATTGATTCCATTTTACATGATATAAAAGAGTACAGTGATACTATCTGATGACCTTAAGATGTTAGAAGTTAACTTCTGGAGAATTCAGCATTTCAAAACAGCTACTCTCACAAGGTTGGTTTCCCAGATCTTGCTAAGACATGAGCTCTTAATGTATTTTTTTTTTAATCCAGACTCTTATTGCAAATATTCTGAAAAATCAGAAATATTACATGAGCTTTGAAAAGAACCAAGGCATTTAGCAAAATTTAGCCTAGCTAGAGTAGAGAACACCGATACTTGAAAAAAAAAATACAATTTACCTTTTGCAGCAATTTAAAGGTCCAACCCTTTGAAAGGAAGCACATTAGCAAACAGCTGCTTATTAAGCCCTAGTGACATTAATTGTATGCATTTCCATAATACCAGTCTAACTCACTGTCTAATTCTGGTAGGAGGCAATGCTTTCTTTCAAAAGATTCTCCTTCCATGGAATGATAAAATGCTGAGGCTTTTTTTTTTCTTTTTTTTTTTTTTTTTTTTTTTTTTTTTTTTACAGAGCCTGTATTTAGTGCAATAAGTTTTAAAAAATCTGCTCTGAAATATTTACTTTACATTAACAAAAATAGCTTTTTTTAAAAAAATTGTAACAAAAAGGAGTTATCGCATAAACAGATCATGAATTATTCTTAGCAAATTACACTTTTTTTTTTCTTAAAGCATTCACCATTACAATAAGCAGAACAATGGAATATTAGCCATTCATATCTGGTAAGCATCAGGAATTAAAAAAGAAAAAAAAAAAAAAAGGAAACAAAGAAAGAACAAAAAACAACCAAACCCATCCCCAAACAAAAACAAGGATCATACTCAAGGACCAAAACATTAACCAATTCTGTAGTTAAACATTGTAGAGCTCTGGATACGCAATATGCAATGAATTGCCAAGGAGAGGAGCACCTGCCAGTGTGTTTTCAGATTGTATAGCAAGCATCTGAATAAAATGGCCGTTTAACCCTAAGCCACTGACGTTCCTCTGAAGCAGAAGCCCAAGCACCGGATTTTTCAAAGCTTTGTTCCATGTTTCTGTCCCTTCTTTATTTATTCCTCCCAGCATTACTTAATCTGCAAATCAATACACAGAAACTTAAAGGCTAAACTCGCTGGGTGCCCCAGCTTCCTTTCAAATCAGGCACACAGATGTGTGAAGGATGCTACTAAAATCAAAAAGAAAGACAACAATATAAGAAAAAAGTTTGCATAAGAAAGATTACCTACCCTTTCCTTTTTTTTTTTTTTTTTTTTTTTTTTACCTACACACTTTTATAGAAGCATTAGGGTAAACTACAAATACCTGAGGAGTTGGTTACTTTTTAATGTTGGCTGACAAATGTATGAGCTATTATGAAAATTCCCATACTGGGCCCATTAGAATGTTTCCAAAAGTAAAATGACATGGCTTCTTTGATTGGGGAAAACTTATTGGGGGAACTCCTTATTTATCTGAAAGCATATGCCCAGTCTTGATCCACTAGGACTTATGCATCAGTAAAATAAGACCTTGATTTTTTTATACATAGATCAGGGAAATCACCCCTGAATAAACTTCAGACAAAGAATTTGGTACAATAACTTCATCTAATTTAAATAACTAAAGTTAAAATCTCCTCTAAGTTATTAAAAATGTTAATCAGATATGAATCTTAACATTTCCATTAAGACAAGTACAGTTGAAAACATTAAATGACGGAAGTTGCCTTGTAAAAGCCACCCGTATGAAAGGAGTACATGTTTGACAAAAATAAGCATAAAAAAGGTATTAAATCCCTGTTCCTTTTCTCTGATTTTGGCTGATTATGTGTGTGTGTGTATATACACATACATATATGTATATACACACATACATATACATATATACACACACCCACACACACAAATACATAGTTATGTGTATATATTGTTTTGGAATGTCAATGGGTTCCATAACCGTCGGCTAGGTTCAAGCAGAACTTGCTCCCGAAGCCTAGAAAACAAAGTCATACAGAGTATAATCTTAGACAATTACCATTAAAAGGAGATTATGAATGATGTTACAAATATACACATGGTCACAAATAGCAATAGGGCAAAATGGATTGAGAATGCTTCTTCCCTGAACCTATATTCCTAAGGTCAAAACTCCTATGAACGTTGAAAGTCACGTGTCCTTCAGGATTATCTTGGAGCTAAGCAGCGCATACTACTCTCGCCCATGTTCCTGTAGTACCCAGGTGTTTTCCTCCCTTTCTTCTGTAAGTTCTTTCTGTATGACAGCAAGCAGACAGTCAGAAAATCTCTTTCCTAAACCTCTTCATCATGCTTGGTAAATTTTTCTAAAGTCACTTTCAAAGACTCGTAGAAAGAAAGACCTCATAAATCTTTAAAGTTTTCCTTAACTAGTGAGGCTTTCTCAAGAAAAAGTCCAAGAAGAAAACTGGAAGCTCTCATATTTAGTTCAATGATCCCCTGTCAAAAGGAAATTTTAAAACCTCATGTTCATGAACATTACTTTATGAGCTAAAAATAACCCCTAAATTAAAATACCCCATTAAGAAAGAAGACAGACAGTGAACTCAAACACAGGCAGTATTTCTAGAGGTATTGCAAAATAGACATGATGTTCTTTCACAGAACTTGCATCTAAGGGAGTAATATGTGAATGAAACCAAGCAAATACAAATAAACAGTTTTAAATTCTACCAATCCCAAACTTTGGGGAGGAATTTCTGGCACAATTCTTTGGGGATGTATATACTAGAGGGTGGTGGTCACAGGGGTCAACCCTAACCACACATAATGTGAAGAGCAATAAGAGAAGATGCTGATATGTTTTACACAAAGCTATTCTGTGAACATTTCACACTGCTGTATTGAAGGTTTTTTTTTTTCTTTTTAAAACTGTTGAAAACATCATTCTTAAGGACCAAATATTACTATATGAAAATATCCAAAGAACATGCACAGAAAAGATGTATTTTGGGAGTTAGCAGACAATTTTTGCCATTAATCTGCAAGCAAGGAACTGATGAACAACATAAAATGAAAGCAAAAGCTGAATGAAGATTTCAATGTATTGTTTGAGATGAGGAACACTAGTTTAAAACGGAAAATATGACTATAAAACTCTCTCTAAAATTTTTAGCTTCTGAAGAATGCCACCTAGGACTGCTACTACTATCTATAAATTGGGTTAATTATTGCCAGTAAATTAGGGGGTTAGGTAAGGAAGGTATATTTGCATTCTGGTCTACCATAACTTATCTACCATTTATTAAAGACTAATATGGGAATACAGGACGATTTGTAGCCAAACTGAGTTCTCCCCAACCTCCAACTATTTCTTCCTTTCTTTAAATGCTTATTACTGAAAAATGATTTAATAGAAGCATTAATCAGTGGAAAGATGAAAGAAGGAGGGGAAGCCTACTTTACCTTTTATGATTTTATATGTGCTTTTTAAGATTTAGGCTTTGAATCTTTATTTCCTGAACAATTAGGGTGACCAAGCAGCAGAAAGAGGGAAGCTTCCCCCCTTTCCCCATATCACCATCAGCCTGGCAGAATCCTGACTGCAATCTTCCTCAGTCCAAGGGAAGTAAGAGGATACAAAAACAAGAGGTGGGGAGTGGATAAGGAACCTGACTGGAGAGACTGCTGATTAGCTCCCCTTTACTCACTCAATCCACTTCTGGCTGATACATACCTAAAAATAAGAGCTATGTGGAGAGTCTGCATTCTTGTACTTATGATTGGAGTGATCTGTGCTTTGGGAATCTAAACATTTATGTCTGACTTTATAATCATTCATGCTATTAAGGGCAACATCAAAACACTGGAGAGTTATAGAGGAAAGGGTTTAGCTTTAAACATTTAGCTAAGTCTTTAATTTGGGTTGAATATGCAATTATTTTGCTTATACATACAGCCTCCCTGGGTCCCTTTAAAAAAGCCTATTTCTGTTATTCTTACAAGTTTAAAGAAGCTTGTGTTATATCACGTGTCTTAAGTTGGGAACCTATACACAAATCATTTATTAAAGTATAAGTAACAAACAAAGGAAATGCCTCCCCTTGCATCTGTGGGACATTATATGCAATTGGATGGCACACTATTTAGGACAAACTGATTAAGGATGTAGGCGGTAAGATAATATTTGGAAAAAGCAGTAAATACAATTGTAAAATATATGCTAGAGACATCTGTTGTTATGTCACAGCAACTGGGGATTCTCTTACACTGGTCAAGTTTTTTTCACAAGAAAATGGAATGGAGGTTATATATACATGACGAGGTCTACAAAATGTTCATGGGGAATCCATATTGTGAAAAAACTATGTAGGGTTTTCAAATGTTTTTGCACCAAAATAAACTCATACTTTAATTTCATTTCTCCATGAGCCTTTTTAAGTTCCCTCATATATATATTACTGACCAGAGGTGATGATTTATCCTTTTCACAATTAAGCTGGGTGAAGACTAGGTTGTTTATTGCATGGAAATATGCATGTTGATGGGAACAGCCTTGTTTGCTACTGAAAATAGCCTAAGAAACAAAGAAAGTACACGCAAGGCAACAGAAAACGTTGGCAAAGGGGAAAAGACAGCAATGTAAACAGAACAATATTAAAAAAGGGAGAATATGAATTGTTAGCAAGTTGAAAGGAATTGCTATTATCATCTTACAAAGTAATAAAAATAAAACTGTCAGTTCAAGTGTACACCCAACTGTTTGGGTTGATGAAAACAAAACACTGACAGTTAAAGAGAAACAGCTGTTTCACCTTAGGGACAAAACCACCCTCCCTTCTCCCCATGAGCTCTGACAAAGATGCCATTCCTTTCAGCTTACTTTTACAGAAGGTGGTCTCAGCTGGGACAAGATTTCTGCCATCCAAGTGATGGGTAAGCACACAAACAGAAAGAGCAGCAGGTCCTGAGTGATACAGACAACAAAAGCTTCTCCTGAAGAAGTGCAGTCAGTGAAGACAGAGAGAGAGAGGAAGTGAAAGTGAAATTCTTGGAGGGCGGCCACCTCCTCATCGCCACCTACCATCGGTTTTAGCTCTCTGGCATCAGCGACGCCTCCCTTACCAGCTTCTTTCATTGCTTTCCTACTGTTTTCCACAAACTCCTGCAAAACAGGGACCAGATTGCATCAATTCTTGGTTCCTTTGAGAACGAAGCTGGTAGATGAATTTGAAAGAATATTTACACTTTTTATTCAATCTTGGTAAAACACAGCAATAAATGATATTTAGTATCACACACAATAGTTGCTAAGTTTGTGGAGATTTTAGACTGCAGTCCATTGATGTACAATCTTCTTTGCACCTACTCACTGTGACAATCATATTAAGGCTCCAAAGACAAGGTTAGTTCCAGAGGTAACAGGAAATATTTAACATACCACCACACCAGAGGGTAGTGTGTGTGCTCCCGCAAGAGAGAAGGGGGAAAGAGATAAGTGAGAAAGCACTCACCATGGAGGCTGGTCAGGCTATAGCCCTTCTCTTCTATCTGTCCCTCATTTCAGGATTTTGGGCACGGACACACAACAAGCCTGCGGGTCCAAGACTCAAAACATGCAGTCGGCATATGGGATCTAGTTGCCTCAATCATCATGCCACTGGTTGGCCCACTTGTTATTTCAATGTAGAATGTTTAGTTTTCAATACTACTTATTCTTTTTTTTTAAAAGAATTATTTTACTTAACTTTATTTATTTATTTTTAATTTGACCAGAGAGGGACAGGAAGAGAGAGAGAGGGAGGGAGGGAAAATGAAAAAGGGCCCCAGCCCCAAAGCCACAGTCAGCCATGTGGGAGTTTAGTGCCCTTAATCTCCACGCCACCTGCCAGCCCCAATACTACCCATTCTTGAGAGAGGAATATCTCACAGCTGAATAACAAAGCACTATTTGTGTGTGTCTGTGTGCACGTACATGTGCTTGAGGGCACGTGTGTTTTCCAAAGATAGAAAGTGAGACAGAGGGACAAAGAGAGGGAAAGGTGAAAGCACCCTTATGGGGAATGGTCATGCCATAATCCTTTCTACTCCATTTCTCCCTCCTTTGGGACTTTGGGCATGCATGCACAGGTACACAGTGTACTTCTCAAGCTGCCAGGTCCGAAACTCAAACCATGCACTTGGCGATGTGAGATCCAGCTGCCTTAATCACCAGGCCATGGAGCTGGCCTGAAAAGAACTATTATTAAGAAGTATCTCTGGAGCCAACAGGTAGTGTAGAGCTTAAGGTGCTAAATCCCACAAGGCCAACTGTGCAATGAGTCCTGGACCCAGTGGCTTGAAAACTACACAAGGCATGTGTGCCCAAAGTCCCAAAAGGAGACTAGAGGAGAGGGAGAGCTGTGTGGTCATCCCCCCGGGGGGTTTTCTTTCTTTCTTTCTTTTTTTATTTTGTTGTTACCCTGGGGGGCGATTTCTCACTTTCCCTTTCTCTCTGGAGTGCACATGGTCTATAACAAAGACAAAAACAAAAAAGCATCTTTAACTTGGTACATTAACACTGATAATTGTTCTTAAACCATTTTATATGGTTTTTAAATTTTTAAAAAACCTTTAACTGAGGTCCTAATATAGAGAAGCTGAAGAGGATATATAATTATAAGAACTCCGAAGACAGTATCTGTGTAGAGGTTCAGGTCTTAACTAATGGGAAACAATATAGTCTACCAGTCATAGATCTGTTATCTGCATTACTCTTGAAATGATTTCCGTTTGGGTTGGTATATTAAGGATGATGAACTTTAACGAGGATTTCACAGAAATGTCATTTGGAACAGTGGTGAATGGAGAAAGACAAGGAGGACCTGGGAAATAACTATTTTGAGTCCCATTTCAGGAAAGGCACTGAGAATATCCCTGGCCCAATGTTCCAATTCAAGAGCTTAAAGGCAAGCTTAGAAAGTCCATTCAAGGGGCTAGCAGGTGGCTTGGTGGTTAAGGGTGCTGGACTCCCACATAGCTGACTACGGTTCAAGTCCTGGACCTGGCAGCTTGCCCTCTCCCTCTCTGGTCAAATTGAACTAACTAAATGAATGAATAAATAAAGTTAAATAAGATAATTAAAAAAAAAAAAAAGTCCATGCAAGGTGGTATGGTGGTTAAGGTGTTGGACTCCCACATGGCTGGCCACAGTTTGAGTCCCAGACCAGGTATTTGCTTTCTCAATCTCTTTCTTTCTCTCATATCCACATATGTGCCCTACAGCCAATTAAAAAATAAATAACATTAAAAAAATAAAGTCCATTCTAGGGCTAGCCAGTGATGAGGTGGTTAAGATGGCTAGATCCTACATGGCTGACTGCATAGTTTGAGTCCTGGACCCAGTGACTTGAAAAACACAACAGGCACACGTGCCTGCATGCCAAAATCCCAAGAAAAGAATGGCAGAGAGGCAACTGGGGCATGGTCATCTATCTGGGCGGTGCTTTCTCACTCAGTTCCCCATGGCTTTGTATCTTTCTAAGATAAGCACACATGCCCTAAAACAAATTTAAAAAAAAAGAAAAAAAAAAAGTCCATTCAAATCCATCTAACTGTAGAGAAAGAGGCAGCAAAGTGAGAGAGTGTGAACTTAAGGTTATTAATGAGTTCTGCTCCAGCTAGGTAGATTTGAAATATTCTTATCCAGGCCTTCTTTCCTGTTATCTCCAAGATTTATTCTCATTCATGAGTGAGTGCTCAGGTTGAATTCTGAATTACTCAGTTGCATATGGTGGGAATTAAACATAGAGAATGGTTTAGCACATTTTTTATTAGTATTTTTATCCCTAAAGCAGTAGAGGGTATTTGAAGTACTTACCATTAGCACTTTATCCATATAGAATTCTCTGCCAGGGCTCCCATCATTGTATTTTGTATCAATGGCAAAACACAAGAATAATACATCCACTACCATTTCATAAATGGACAGGAAGCAATGAGCGACTAAGAAAGCAAAGAGGCAGACGATGATCAGAGGCAGCACCCATACTGTGTAATCCTGCTGGTAGTTGAGAAGCATAATCCCAGCCAGACCCGTGCTGCAGACTATCAGCACCTGAAGCAGAAAGAACAAAGACCACATTTAATACCCTACTGTATAAAACGGCTACTTCTTCATCATTCACAGGCTTAAAATTCTCTTATCATTTATAAATAAATGATGGCTGCATAAGGCTATTCATGTCAAATTAGGAAGTATAATCCACATGTACCAACATAGGCAGAGTTATACATCATGCAACATAAATTCTTAAAAAATCATATTTTGACTGATTCTGGCTTATAGTAAAGATAATTAAGCTTTCTAAATGTTACGCTACTTCCTAAAATGTCATTGATTTAGAATCTGTGGCAATTTAAAAGATAAATGTATGCATGTATTTTTAAAAAATTGCACACTTAGCACTCAGAAAAACTACTGACATTTTAGAGTATTGCTATGTATTTTTTCTAAGCATTTTACATATATGAAATAGTACAACATAAACAAATCATTAAAAGTCCTTCATTAATATTTATAATATCATTATAAATGCTTCATAAATACTTACTCAACTACATAATTTCATCTTATGGGTGATTTAAAATTTACTTAACCATTTTCCTCCTGTTGGAGACTTACATTGTTTTCAGAGATAAGCAATACTGCAATAAACATCTTTATCCTTAGAAATTTTTCTGTATCTCATATTTTAATTAACATAGAATATATGGCAAATTTAATGTAATTTGCCATGAAGTTTAGATTTGGACTATCTGTGAAGAAAAAGGCTCCTAAAACATTCATACTAAAATAAAGGAAATAGCCAATTTGCTTATTGTCAAACTACTTATTCTGATACTTTATTATTTCATATGCAGTAAATTTTTCATTGTTCTTTTACATACATTTTACTCAGCTTTTCAATAAGCTTATGATTACTTTATGGCAAATATTATCATCCCATTTTACAGACTCAAAGACATGTGAGATACTAGCCAAGCTGTTCCAGGTCACAGAACAGAAGAGCAGACACCACTCAGATAATGGTCTTATAATGGTTAACTCCAGTGTTCTTTCCAGGTAAAAACTCAGTAAATACTTAAATACTGATGCAGAGCAGTAATGGGTTATTAGACACTCTTATCCAGCCCTTTCCTTGGCCTAGTATCATGGCTTAAACAAGGAAAGAGGTAGAATGATAGCTGTTTATCCTTGTCAAGTAGACTGAGAATTCTTTCGCATTTTCTCCAACGTTTATCAGTATTACAGTACACCTCATTTACCATGATCAGGACCAAGTAAACACACTAGATGATACACCGGATAAGCCTTCAATTGATCTCGCTCTCAGATGCTTTCAGAGAGCAAATCTGGGTCTGCCCAAAAGTTGGAAGAACATCCCCACCCCTACCACCATTTTTCTGGTGATAAACTTAAAAATCTGCTCATACTGACTGAATTTCTTGTTGATTTCCAGAATTTATATCTATTTTCTTCTACTCTCTGGTTTTGATTTTAGAATGAGTTTTTCTTTACATTCTCCACTATTTTTACATCTACCCTAGTGGAAATCTGAGATTCTTTATGCTCTCACAAGTTAAAACATAATTGAAACGTTAAAGTTGATTATAAGAAGATATGTCTCAAGTGAATTAGAGGCTGAAGCAAAAAAACTGTTGAGATGGAAGGTCGAATATTATGTCCAACTTAAGAAACAAGTACAAAGACTAGTGATATGTAGAGCAAAAAAAAAAAAAAAAAACAAAGTCAAAGAAATGTAATAATTTC